TTTTCTCCCAAGTAGAACAATTCAGCTTTTCTCTTTCTCCTTTTATCTCCCCATGTGCTGGTGGGAAAATGGAAGGAGCTACTAGGAAGTGGGGAGTAGGAATGGGCATGATAGTATCAGAGAACTTCAAAGATGTCCTGGTGTCAATAGAGGCAGACAATGAGGTTAGAAGATAGGAAATATGGTGTACCTGCATAAGGTAGACAGATGATTCCTTCCAGTAGAACTCATGCCAGGAGACCTAGGTCTAGTGGAGAATTTGTCTCCAGAAAAGTTTTTTAAAAAAATCCAACTGTCTCCAAATTTTTCTTGGAAATAAATAATTCATGATATACCACCATAAAGTATGAAACATGGTAGGTCAGAAACTTAAAATCAGCATTCAGCAACTAGATGTCAAGTTTTAAGTGGCTCATTCTATTATTTGTGTGTGTGTGTATGTGTGTGTGTGCGCGGGCGCGCGCAAGAGTGCGCACGTGTGCTCACATTCAGGCAACTTCTACTTTGCTCTCAATTCTGCTCAGAATCAAGTATAAGAGAATGAGATAAAAAATGGCTTTTAAGTCCAGTGACCTGTTCTCTCCCACTGCAAATCATCTTTTGAGTATAAATTAACATATTCTATATAAAGAAAATGGGAAATTAATCTTCATGATGGATGTGGAAGACTGGTGGTAATTGTTGGTCAAAATAAAAAGCTATTTTGTTATACCTCATGTATTTAATAGGAAACCAGAATTTCCAGACTAATGTTACATATTATATTGGCAACAGGAAATAGTTGCTTTAAAAAAAAAATATTTATCATTGGCTGGTACTTTCACTCGTGTTCCCAACACATGACAGCATGGCTTTCCATCTTGAAACTGACCCTTATTCTTTACAGTAGAGTTCTGATCTATGGATTGAAGAACAAAGGCTGAAATTGCTTTCATGCTTATTTAATCATGTGAATATTTTTGAAAAAAAATGTCAAAATTGAATTTAGATTATAAATGAATTCATTTGTTCTACAAAAGACCATAGTCATGCTTTGTGACAAATGTGGAAAACTTTAATCTATATTTTTTATGATGGAATCAGAAAGTTTGAAAGAAAAACAAATTTGAAGAGAGAGCAAAGTAAAGATGGAGTTCAGGATTAAAAATTAATCAATATTTTTAAGTGAAAATTCATTCAATTGCTACAGAATAGAAATTGTTTTAAGGCCTGGAATTTCCATTTTTTTTAAACAAATTTACTCAAAGTTGGGAACCTCCATACAATTTGGAAGATATGTGGCGTATCTTTCTTTTAAGTGTTAGCTTTGCTACACATTAGCAGTGTGACATTGCTTCCTCTTGTAGGATGAGGTTAACTTCATTTCCTCTGCGTGCTTGCTTCAAGAATTACAGGTACTTCATGTAAGTTCTATGTCAAAATTCTAAGTACCTTGCCTGGCATGTATGCTCAAAAATAGAAGGTACCACGGTGATGATGATGATAATGATGATGATGATGGTGAACGCTATACCTTCATGCCAAACATAAATTGTGTAATCAACTTTGTAAACTGCCATAGAATTATATATTTCCATTCCTTTAACTGCATTTATTTTCAGTAAAAACTAAACCTTCTCATGGAATCTGCTAAGCAGCACACAGTTTTTCAGTAGCAGGTCCCTTCGTGCAGACACTTGAAACTGAGTACTGAGCCACCTCATAGTGCCCATTCAGCCTGCTGATCACTGTTCTGTACTCCCTTTAAAATGAAAGAACTAACTCCTACAAACTTCTATATTACTTGAACAAGAGACACAGAGATAGAGAATTCCATGGTTAAAGGGTTGCATTTCTGAAGGGCATATGTGGGTTTCTAAACACCAGACTATATATTTTAAGATGAACAATTAAAGGAACAAAAATAATTTACTTTTATGCAATTCCCGAGAATCTTTCACATGTCGTTCTTTGCTGACTTTATTTAAAAACTGTTAGTGCTTTGATTGTTATCAAGCCAAATGGTCTTTGTTCCATAATAAACCAAAAATGAAAATTATCTAAATACTATAAGACCTAAACATACTACCTAGGTTCTTTGTGTAGTGCCCATGCCAGCTACCTTTGGTGTTTAGTGAGTTTCCAGTGGTTACACAGGACTAAGGCTTATAGCATTATCTGAAAGAATGTGTGAAGCATGCATACAGAAACTTCAAAATACGTTTAGATAGAACACCATGATTTAAAAGCTTTCATGTGCCATGCAAATTTATATCACTTGCATGAAGTGAGTGTCAGACATTATATACATATATATATGTGTGTATGTGTGTGTGTATAATTCTATATAATTCTATATATTTCTATGAGGTTTTCTGCCTCTCCAGGTGTCAGACATTAAGACATTAAAATGTTTACTATCTTTGGAAGACTTCACTTTCAAATTCACGAGAGTAGACATGATGTCATAATGGGATCCAAGTGGAACACAGCATCCTTTTCTGATATGGACAAGAGGAGGTATCTTCTTGGCAGTGCACATGTTGACCTGTTAGGACCACTTGTTGAATATTTTCCATTTTCATTCAGGAAAATTCTCATTCCATAGTGCCAGAGGAACTCAAATATTCATTTCCTTATGTTTTTAAGATTCAGCTAAGCTCTACATATGACTCTGCTACATATACATTATTTTACTTTTTCTATACCACAGCTTCATTTCAAACTCAAGTCCCCATTATCAAAGTAGAACACAGAAAATATAAATGATTTTAGTTAATTCAGACTAATTTAGGTCAGGAGTTTCTCTGTCCACTCAGGGTCTTATTTTTCTACCTGTCTTCTTCCTGAATGTATTTTATATTCTGCAAGTGTTAGTGGCAGGAAGCATATGGCTATATTGCTGTGCCCTCTGATGTGTCTGCATCTTAATTAGCTTTGGTTCATGCCCATGTTACTGTACCCTTGATGCCTTTCTGTGGGTGTGGAAGGGGGATTATCTCCTGCTTACTCTAGCTAGGACAGGGAAAAATTCTGTAGTTATGTCTTTTAAAGACTCACTGTAGTTTGGGAGAATTCTATGCGGTTTTCTGCCTCTCCAGGATCCAATTGAGACACATGACGTGTTTTCTAAACCTCTCTGAGTTTATTTATAGAATAAATGGCATGCTTTATGACCCATATTCAAGGCTACATTAATATCTTAGATACTGTTGTCTCTTGAGCTCTCCTTTCAACCTGGATAGTATTTATTTTGCAAATGAATGAAATATGATAGATGGGAGTCTTTAAAATCTACTGTTTAAACACACAAACTTTATGTCCAAAGTCCATCAGGATTTTGAAACTCAAAATCCTTATATTTTGAGCTTTAAAAACAATTTTTTCTTCTCTTGTTCAGCATTGGTGCTTCTGCTGTGATGACCCTGCCAGGAATTTATGCATGCAGAGATCTCGGAGCAGTGAGAGAGCCACAAGTTCACAATACCCACAGCAACCATAAAATCATGACAATGAACAACAATGAAAAACATATGGACTGATATGTCAGAAGAATAACAAACTATGGTGGAATTTTCTTTCACTTTACCAAATCAAAACTATTGATTAAAGAGAACAAAGGAGAATATATAATAGGCATTATTCCTGAACTAAAGATTCTTTCTCCCTTTGCTTTATAAAAACAGAAACTTTTTAAATAGTCAAATTAGATTTAGCATAGTACTGATAAATAAATTTCAAGTTTTCTCTCTCTGGAACTTTTGATCTTTGATTCTGCAGATAGAGGACCTTCAGTTGAAGCTGAGATGAGAAGGTGGTTAGTAATTATGAAAGTGACAAGATGTGAGGTTTACCTTGTCTGCTTGGGACACTTTGCCTCTGAATAGCTCTCATTCTTTATTGCAGACCTCCAGTAGCTTCCTATTACTTTTCTCCCATAGAATCTGAACAATTTGACAGTCTAACCAGAACCTGACTTGAACCTGCCTTTCCAGGTGTGCTTTCTCAGCTTACCTCATGAACGGGAACCTCCATGCTCACTGACCTTCCACTCTCCTATCAAAAGCTTCTTGAATTTTTCCAGCTCCCTGAATTAAGACAGCCTTTTCCCTTCCCAGGAGACCTCCCTTCCATATCCTTGAGCAGGGCAAATTAATCTTTTCATTCCAGTTCCTCTTAATGGCTCCCTCAGTCTCCTTCCTTCCCCATCACTACCAATCTCCAGGCTCCCCATAGCTCTCTTCAGCATTTCCTTAAGGCTGACATGGATTATGGATATTTCTGTAGCAAAAGACCCAGAGGGAGAAAACTGGAGTTTTTAACCTTGTTTTGAACATTGCATCAGGTCATTTTGGTTCTCTTAGTATCAGGCCAGCCTGAGGATGTCTGAACTATCCTTGCACCATTTTCAGCTGGAAGTTGGTTGGTTGAAGTTTTCAGCTCATATGTACATAAATCAAGTCTCAATTGCCAACGGTGCTTGGTACTCAGTAACAGTTTTCTAAATCAAATACAACGGGCAGATGAAAAATAAGGAGTGTGTTGATCAATCCCATGGGGCCAATGTGGGAATAAGGATGATGCATAAATATTCTGGTTGATTCTCCAGACAGGATGTAGTCGTGGGGCACCTTTTCCCTTCCCTTTATCTTACCCAATGGTTGGGATTTCCTTCTTTTATGTCTGCAGAGTGAAAGTTTTAATTCTCTTTTAGTATGATTAAGGACAGGCACAATATAGGACAGCAATTTCATAGTGAAGAAAAGGCTGAAGATTAATCACTAATTCACATTTTATTTGACGAGTTTTGAATAAACTCAGAAAGCCTTGCTAGGTAAAAACCAAATCAGATCTTTATTTCAAAGATAAAAAGAACTCAGTTCCTTGGCAGCAGTCTAAGCTCTTCTAGTCTTTCAACAAGTGGCACTTGGTGTTTTAACTCACTGCTAAGCCTTCAGGTTGCATTACGCTGTCATGCTACTAAAGACTATGGACTTCAAAAAAGAAAAAAATTAGCTTACCTCCACATCCTTGTTAGCCCATCACATCTGCTATTCAATTATGTGTTCCTTGCTTGTGGGTACCTGGAAGAGTGAGAAAGAATAGAAAAAGAAAACTTAAATATTACTCAACTGCATTTTGTGAAAGGCAAATATTTACAATTTTAATTGATGACAAACACACACTTCATAAAACTATTAGCATGCAACTCCAGCTGCAAAAACTGAACAGCGATATGCCTAAGCTGGTTAGCAGCAAAAAAGTAAACCAATCACATCGACAAAAAGCCACCATAAACAAAAAAACTATATTGAAAAGATCAACAGTTTTGGCATTCATCCCTAACATCAAGTCTTTCGCTTTCTTTTTTGTTTTCCATCAAAATTTAGCTTACTTTTGAAGTTAGCAAGAGTTGCATTACTATTATTGTTAATTTTAGTTCTGTTTATTACCTTGAGGGTTATATATTGTAAAATAATTTTGGTGCCTCTAGTTAATGTTAATTAGTTGTTTTAATAGCCTATAGACCTATTTGTTATGTTTTTGTAGGTTTACTTTTTTAACTATCAGGAACTTAATAACTGAGAATATTTAACATTACTGTTGCATAGGCAAAATTACAGAGTTACTATTAGTGTTACCTGTTTAACGTTTAGTCATCCTTTGAGTCCTGCGACATATTTCCTTAATAATCATCAGCCATCAAGTCTGATAGTCTCAAAAGAAATATCAGCCCTCTAAACTGCCTTCAAGGGCGGTGATATTTAGCACTGAAAATTACAAATAAAGTTTTTGAGGTTGAATAGCAACAACTGGCCAGTGACACTGATGATTTGTTTGTCAAAACAAACTGTTATCAACTACGCAAATGAAGTCCACGCACTCCTTTGAGTGAAAACAATAAAGTGAATCTACGCAATGCTTACATGTTGGATGGGATATTTAATGTGCGGGGGAAACTCAAAGGTTGAAGAACTAGGCATTTAGACAGTGGTAAGTGGTAATCTTACCTCTTTATACTCCATTACTCTTTCTCACGAGAGACATGCTAATGCAAACAAGTCAATCAGAATTTGTGTTTAGCAAGATAAAGCTTAGAGGATAGTTTAAAATCCATTTATTATTCTAAATCCATTTTTTTCCATTAACATGTTATACATTAGTGTTTACTAACCATGATTCATGTAACAGTTTAGTTTGTTAACTTTTAAATTATTTAACAACCATAAGTTATTAATACATTTTAAAGTATTACACAAATATCTTAAAACAGGCTTGGGTTCATTTTTGTAATTTTTAAATAGAAAACATTTTAGGCATCTCTTGAAGAAGAAATAAAGCAGGCATTTAAAGCTAGAAAACAAGTAATTCCAAATTTAGTTTTTACAAAAGTTTTCAGCTTTATTGACAAATTATGGCAAACATATTTGACAAATTGTGGTTTCCTATTTAGAGAAGCTTACACATGGAACTTTATGTGTGTTTTTTTTTTCTTTTTTAACAAATACAGGTTAAAACACTGAACAAATTCAGTTAGCTACATACATACAGTAGCTGCTTGTTTTCAACCCCATTAAAACAGCATTTAAAATTAAATTTACAAACTTAATATCGAACATCTTTATCTAACTAACAGATATTAAAAGACAGGTTAAAACATCTTATCTACAACTTTATTAATCAGCTAGTTCAAAAATCATATTACAGTCTTTTAGCAACCCTAAACAAAATTTCTGCTAGTTGGTTGAGACTCAAAATCTGTCAACAGATTCATGCTCTTTCTTAAAAAAGAAAAGAAAAAAAAAAGAAAAAAAAAGATTACACACAACAATGAAAACAACCAAGAGAATATCATCCTACTGAATGGTTTATAAACTATGCTTGCCAATATCTTTTTCAATTTGTTTTGTAAAATAATACTAGTGTCAATGCCACGACAACAGTATAGAGGGAAATACAAGAAATATATGGGAGTAATTATGAGCAGTTATCCCTAGAATAGAAAAACAAACAAAAAAGGACTATTACTTGTCTTGTTGCTGTTTATGTGGAGACCACAGGCTATGAATTGTCTTTTGAGGTGAGGTCACAGGTGAGGAGGACCTTCAATATCTACCATAGGGGTGTTCCCTGTATCCCCCTCTGGCTGACCTTGGCGGTGGTGCCTTTAAGCTGGAGCGGGTTGTGGCCCATTCTTCTGGTGCTATGAACAAGAGAAAGACAGTAACACACACATGATTTCACAGTTAACAACAACAAAAAAGTAACTTAAGACACAATTAGCAAACCAAGAAAAAGAGATTAAAATGTCTCAGCACTGAAAGTTAAAGCCACACACACACACACACACACACACACACACACACACACACACACACACTTGTATTATTTATTTTTTAAATATTATTTATAAATTTTTCCACTTGGAATTAAACTTTCCTGGCTTTTCTCATAGAAGGGAAACTAAAGTCCTTGAATAACTGCACATTTATTAAGTGTTAGATCTTAATGCTGCAAAATAGAAAGAGGAGTATCAGTGCAGTCCATTCCTCACTTAATCTTCTGATACAGACTTAAAAAAATAAATTGATATAGTGAAGTAATGGTTTTTTAGGCCTTGATTAACAAAACCAAAAATAATTAATGCCTATTCTCTGTCCCATAAACCACCTAATTAGGAAACTTTCTAGGGTGGAATCTATAGTTTGGTATTTTTCCACTGCTCCCTGGGTGATTCTCAGGTGATCTAGAATTGAGATTCATTGTGCAGACAAAGTGAAAAATGAACAGGATATGATGCAGAGAAAGTTTTAGGTAGCAAAATAAGAAAAACAATTATCACATCAAATTTTCCAAGTAAAGATCTCAGAAAGTACAGAGGTATGTGATACATGAGAAAAACATATTTGTCTGTTAAATGCATTTCCATTATCCTCAATGTTATGGAACATATCCCCAAACCAAGGAAAAAATCATGATTTTGTATACAATGGAATATAGCTGTTATAAGGTCTCTGTCCCTGGATTCTGGCCCTCCTCCAAAGGAGCTTAATATTAAACTCATGGTGACATTTATGTTATTCCAAAGCTATATTATCTGCATCTTTCAATCAGTTCTGCATAGAGAACATATTTTATGCACACATCTTTGGTGGAATGAAGTGGACATAAAGATAACTAGAAAGATAGATATACTGGCACTGATAGTTGATACAAAGAGTGAAAAGAATGAAAATATCAAATGGAAACTCCCAGAAGACCAAAGACAACTGATATAGGACATTTGTCCCTGGAGAGTTCAATTGCTCCTAAGAATTTGCTCAAAAAGATTGCTAAAAGGGATGAGAAAAAAATTAATTATATTTATAAGCAAAGGGAAATAAATGCAAATGTAGAAAAATAATGGCAAATCTATCAAGGTTGGAAAAAAATTGTACTTAAGTAGAGGATATTCTTTTTCAAGACATCCTTATTACAAATGACAACTAATGATAAATGAATAATTATCTTTTCCACTACTTAAGGTACATACTTAGGTTTATTTCAGTATGTGATAGAATATAAAATAGGAGTGAGAAAATAAATAAGTTGGAGAAATGTTGCCGTTGCTCAGAATAATGTTTACCTAGATCAGGGGTTGACCAACTACAGTATTTGAGCCAAACTTGACCAGATGCCTGATATTATACACAAAATTTTACTGGAATGTAGGCATTTTCATTTATATAATATTATCTGTGGGTGTTTTCATGGTGGAAAGTTGAGTCACTGTGACAGATTAGACTGCTTACATAGCTTCAAACATTTATACTATAGGCTTTTAGAGAAAAGGCTTAAGGACTCCTGTTCTAGTCCATGTTGTCTTTTCTGGAGAGAGAATGTGGACATAGATCTTTCTGATATGCTCTCTTAAGGACAGAAACTTACTGCCAAGCTGCCCGATTTCTCAACATGGATATTTGGCAAAGAGTTCCATGTGTTACATCAGTAGAATTAAATAAAAATGTCTGTGGTATACTAGAAAGGAAAGCAGAATTTGCTGGCAAGTTTGAAAGTACTTTCTTAGCCTTCTGTAAAATGAGCGATTGATTACTCCATACCTGTGAGATACTTGAGAATATGCTAATTTTCTTACCTTCCATACTAAAATATATTCCCCACTTATTATACTTTTTATTTAACCAAAAGGAATGTAACACTCCTTGCTGATTGTTGTAGTGTTAGAGATCCAGGAGTTGTACTGTGTGTGTGTGTGTGTGTGTGTGTGTGTGTGTTTGTGTGCATAGGGTGGGGGTGGGGGTGCATTTCAGAGCTGAGATAATAAACATTTCAAGTATTCCCCAGAAACAGAAATCCTGAGCCCTTTCTCAGATTCTCAAAGTTTATGGTAAATATTCCTGCACAATAATTGAACAGAGCAGAGGACATGAAATGCCTGCCACATCCCACCCTCAGAGATTTTTAGAATTTAAACTGGCTTAAACCTGGGGCTGCCTCAGATGACCTATGTGTTTAAGAACTACGTGTTAAGAACTTGGCTTCACTTGACTTCAATAAAAGCTGTGGGGCAGCTAATTGATGAGCATAAATTCTTCATTTCCTAACTGTAGGAAGTGTGATTGTTCACTGCTGTATCCATATAGCCTGGAACAAATGTCATGTCTAGTAAGGGTTGACTGCCATGAAAACCTGCATGAACAAAAGGAGGAATAAGTGAATAAATGTGGGAACTATAGGGCAAAATGAGCTTTCTCCAAGGAAAACCTGAGAAACACTGCAACAAGCTGAAGTAAGCTGACATTAACTTTAAAAGCAGTATGACTAGATATCTTTTAGGTTTGTTATACTCAGATTTCTTACCCAAAAGAGTTTTTCAGCTACCAGAAGTATTTTACTACTGAATTCAATGAAATAATCACAACAGAAACTCACTACAAAAAAAGTTCAAAAGCATTACACTTTGTTGCACAAAAATGTCCCCTTTTGTAGTTCTCCATTTGTATATAAACCAATACTATTTTTCCCCTCCTTGCTCAAGGCTAGAGAAGTGAGATATTCTATTAACTTATACAAATTGTAACTAGAAAGACAAAAAAGAAGTTAAAATGTACTCCTAACAGAAAAAGGGGAGTTTTAAATTTTCCAAGATTCCTCACAATCAGCAAGAGAAACCAAGGGTTTATTTCACTTAATTCAGATTTTATCATTGTTTACGTGTTCTCAATAACAGTGGTGAACAAAGATTAGGAAAAGTCTTTATTTCTTTTTGTGCCAAATTTTCTTCATGTATGTCTTTGCAAACATCAGAATGTTTACACAGAAGCACTCCTTACAATTGCTACACAGTATAATCCAGTTTCTCTCAGTGAAGCTAGGCTCTCTACTCTGGGCTTGGAGAGTGCTGGCTCAATGAATATTTTTTCCAATGTCATTTGCCAATCTGCCTTGCTTATCAGCCATGTGTAGGCTCCTGGATTTCTTTCCTGCAGTTATCAAACATGAAAGTTAAACTTAGGAAGCCAAAGGGAGTCTAACCTAAGCAACCATGGAACCATCATCATGGAAAAGACCCAGATACACAGAGACAAATGCTTTTAAGGTGCCTCATAATGAAGGGTCTCTGAAATATAAAGTTATAAAGGCCTAAGAATGGACTTATAATTTATCTGTCCTCTTGAGATTCTACTATTTAGGAGATGAGCATATTTCAAGTATTTTAGGACTTCCTACAAGTTTTGGATTCCTGGACAATTGTTCCTAGTCCTGTGATGTTGTCTAGGGTATCATTTAAAAATAAATAATTGCATGCTGAAGTAAGATCCTTCAGTAAAATGATAAAGGAAGTAAGATGCTCTCAGTATCAAGATCATTGTCATATGAGAAGTGCTAGCCAGACTATGAATGTGAATTGAGAATATAAATTACTCCTCAGAGTAGATGCTAAATAACTATCTGCCCAATTGAGTTTGTTGGAATGGATTAGAGAATTGTGGCTTGGGAAATTGCAAAATTGGGACATGAGGAAACAGAGCTTTAGAGTCTCTTTCAAATTTCCACCATTTCTTGGCTTCCCATTTCATATTTCAAGATACCATGTAGTGTACAAAATATAAAACACCTTCATATTTATTATATAAATAACAAAATATCATTAAATATTTCTGTCTTTTTTTCTTTTTCTTTGCTGAAGATCTCTTATGTGCCAGTCACTATACTATGCCCTGAATAGGAGGATAGTTCAGGAAGTCTTAAAGAGATCACAGGGAACTAAACAGCAAAATTTTGTCAATTACAACACAATTATATTTTAAGAAATGTTGGCGAAAGCACAGAGGAGGGAGCTACTAACTTTCATTATTCAGATGAACTTGGATTGAACTCTTAACATTTAGTCATCTGAAGGAAGGGATTTTCTGAGCAAATAAACAATCTCAGTAAGAACATAGGTGCCATTTAAACTATCAAAGAGAATTTACTTTCTTTAAAGGCTTTCCTATATTACTTTGTAACATGTGGCTTTGTTTCTAAACTGGACTCTAAGATCTATGTGAAGAGAGACCTTCTAAAGTGGCAGACTCATAGTAAAAGCACCATAAATATTTGTAATCTACATGTAAATAAACAGTGCTACCAAACAAAAAAGGAATTATGCAAAATGAGTAAAACAGAAAGGCAGAGTGGCCAATTAGGTTGTCATGTTGCATGTATTTAAAATATATCAATATTTATTTAAAGTTACTCTTTTTTAAATTAATTAAGACTATTTTTTTTAACTGTCAGTTTTACAAAATGCCTAGAGTGCATCTCTATTACATGCTAATAACCATCACTGAGGAACATTTTACTTTGATAAAGGAGTGTAAATTATCCAGGTAACTCTTCTTGTGCATTAAATGTTACTCTAGTGGCTTCAGAACCTTCTGCATCTCAAATACTCTGCCCTCAGCAGAATCAGGCCTATTAAGTGGTTTGCATTTCTCCAAGCACTCACATTTCTGCAGTGAGAGCATTCACACTGGGAAAAAAAATATCTCGATGACTTTTAAAGTTGCAAAACTGTGTTCTCTGTTCCAGATACATTAAACATTGAAGTTGTTGAGAAAAACAGGAACCATAGAAAAGAGGGGCCAAACCAGAGGAAAGTTGGCACTCATTTAAATAGCTGGAAGAGTAAATTTTTAATGTTTATCTTTCAGGAAGTAG